CACACACACACACACACACACACACACACACACACTTTCCAATTTGCGTCTTGGCAATTTGTGTATATGCAAAAACGCATAAAAAACTAGGCTTGAAAGCTGATTTCAGGTGGCTCTTACTTCATATGAGATTAGTAAAGTCCGAAATTTCATTTCTAGTTTGTTCCAGATCTTGAACTTCTAGCCTTCTTCGCTGATTGCCTCCAAAAAAAAACATGTGAGCCAGTTAAGTACCTCTTTGAGGAGTGGTACATGCAAAAAATATTGGATTTTTTCTAAAGATTTCTACGAGAACATACGGTGCAGTATCAGCACTACTGAGCTGGTTGAGGATGAGATTCAGATCCACAAAAATTGGAACAATGTTGATTACGATAAAAATTTTTTTTCTCCCTAGGTTTTCACTAATGAAAAGCGTAAAGGAATGTAAAACCTGAATAAGAAGGGGCCATAATGAATAAGGCTTGGGTCGCGATACAAATGCGAAAGGTAGGCATATAAGAAAGGCAGTTGTATGAGTAATGCACCACATGCACCGGCCATAACCACCATCCAGATGCTGCGCCACGCAGCTATCGATGCCCCAGAGGGAATGAAATAGACCGATGTCGAATATGATTACATCAACGCCAACGAGAAGCACTGGTTCGGTACCATTCACAAAATCACAGTACAAAATCTAAAAATACACGACGGTTTTGTTGAAAAGAAATAAAATGCCGCTTTGCCCTGAAATAATTTGTCATTTTTCACCATACTGATTATATTTCGTAGTTGTAATTAGTAGTTATACTTATTTGTATTAATTCGTAATTATACTCCGTAATTAAACTTCTTTGCCAAATTTTCCAGAGTCAAAAGTGTGCTTTAAAAAGAAATCCTGTGAAACAAAACTGGCTTGGCCATTGCAGTGGTTAAGACTTTTGAATAAAGCAGTAAATGGTTAAACAGTTTTTGCAAGATTTTGCTTTTAAACGTTGTTAAATAAAAAACAGACACTTGCTAGTGCTACTGACTCCTCTCCTTCTGTGCCTCTAAAACATTTCGCCAAGCCACTTAACTTCTTGCGTCCTTCTGCTTTACCACATTCTCTCTTTTCATGAATAGTGATGATAGATGTTACACCACAATAAGGTATAACGTCTATCATCACTACTCTCAAAATCTTTCATTTCTTCTTCCCTGACCTTTTCCTAATCCAAAAAAAGGAAAGAAATCTATTCTTCAAAGAATCTATTTTCGTGCTTATTCGCTGACTACATTACCGCCCTAACAGTTATTTTCCAACTGTGCAAATGCAAGAACGCATATTGGCAAGAAGCTGTCTGTGCATGTGTGTATCTGTGCGTTTGCAATTTTTGTCAACCAATTTTATCGGAGAACCAGAAAAGCTAGAAGACTGAAAATTTGGGAGTATGTGCTCACACCATATGCGACCCTTCTGCTTTAATATCATCGCCCGTGTACGCCTGGCTCTCAAATACGAACGTAAATTTCTTGTGGGAAAACGATTTCGAAAACCAGAGAAGATAGCGAGTTGAAACTTCGCAGGGAAATTCTTTGTATATCCATGAGCTAAAAATTTCAAATTCAGCCCTTAGGTGTCCGTGGTTCACTAATACGAGCAAGTGGAAGTTTTGTCGGGAAAATAGCTAACTCGGGGATCAGAAAAGTTGAAAAGCTGTAATTTAAGGAGAATATTCCCTGCCCAAATACAGCTTGAAAGTTTCAAATTCAGCCTCCAGGTATGCGTGGTTCTCGTGTGCGAGCACTTAAATCTTTTGGCGGGAAAATTGCTCATTAAACGACTAGGTCATTTTCAAAGAACGGCCGCTAAACAGAAATTGTTTATTTTTGTTTATGCAAAATTTACGATGATTTACGGTAGTGAGCGTGCAAGATAGTTGCGAACCAACAACCATTCATGCAGATAACCGAATTCAACTTTGATGCAAAAACGCAAGGTCACACCGGAATTGTTGCGTTCCAGCCTGCGTTTTTGTCTTGTCTGGACTTTTTTTCTTGAAATTAACCGTAACAAAAGTGCACGATTTTGAAAGTGATGATGATAGACGTCATAACTTATTGTAGTGAACGATTGAGAAAACATGCTGCGCCATTGCCCAGATGCAGATAGCAAATTGCAACAGGCCCAGGCAGAATGAGATCTGCGAATTGAGATAGCGCTGTCCCAAGATCTTGGAGCTTTCATCGCGCACCACCAACAGCTTCATTAGATTAGTGCCATAACAGTTTCCTATAAATCAACATTTTAACTGGTTTTTTTGTTCGTTCCCATCGAATTGACTCTATACAACGAGCTTTTGTGGAACAAATTTTAGCGTGATAAACTCAGGGAGCATAACTTCTTCCAACAACGGAAACGACTTATGGGCTTGCTAGAGGTGTAAATGGAATAGCATCTCTTATTCATAAGTTTCTAGAAAACTATTCGCAGCAGGAACACCAGAGTAGCATCCGGTGTTGGACACACCAAAGATTGTAACGGGTCAAAATTATTGTGATTCATCGATAAGAAATTCATTGATTCATCGACACGAAGAAATTTCGAATTGTTGATTTGTTGTAAGTAAACTCGTGTTATTAGTTCGACTTTCGAACACTATGGCATAGTGTAAAGGCGAATTCCTCGCCTTGCTCCCCTACCTCCACCCCAAACCATAAAACTCCAAAAAATAAAATAAAGTAAACAAAATTGATGTGTCATCTTTCGATGACACTCCACTGGGATATCGGGAATCGACGTTCCCAGCGGAGATCGGATCTCTGACAGGAGTCCGATTCCCTTGTTCTTAGCCTACCTATCCTCCCGCCACTTCCCACCGTAGATGTGATCTACGATGGTCAGTCCCGTCTTTCATTCCCAAGCGAAACTTTCTCAATCCCCGTTGTCGGA